AGGAAGGGGCTTGGCCAATGGGCTTGGGTTCTGAAGCTAAATGGCCTGAGTTCAAATCCTTGGGCACATCAACTCCTGAGTCTCCATTGCTCCAAGGGTAATGAAACTCAGGTTAAGGGCCTTTGGAGCCAAATGGCCAGGGCTTAAATCCTGGCTCCTTATATTGGCTGGGTGACCTTAGGACAAATTACTTAATATCCTTGTATCTATTTTCTCAGGGCCTTGGACTTGCTCAGCTAGTGTGGAGCCCTCAGCCGTCCCTGTTTCTATTTTCTTTTCTATAAAATGGAGAATAAAAATAATATCTACCTCTTCCAGCTATAGAGAAGAATATGTGATGCAGGGTGCTGGTGGCTCACACCTGTAATCCTAGCTACTTGGGAGGCTGAGATCTGAGGATCACAGGAAAGTCCATGAAACTCTTATCTCCAATTAACCACCAGTAAATGGGAAGTGGCACTGTGGTTCAAGTGGTAGAGCATTCACCTTGAGCTGAAGAGCTGAGGGACAGCACCCAGGCCCAGAGTTCAAGCCCCACGACCACCACCACCAACAACAAAAAAGAATGTGTGAGTTAATAACTCATGTGTTCAGCAAAGAATAATTTATTGTTCATGAGTTATGTGATTAAATGAAAGAATGTACACACTAATGCTTTTTCCTATGATCCTATTGGCCTTGATGCAGCAAGCCCTTATAGCAGGCAGTTTCTGGTCTTTTTTAAAGGCCTTTGATGATAATCCCATCACCCTCTCAATATTAACTTCTTTCTACTGTCCTGAATCAGAACTTGGGCATTCACTTTCAAAGGTGTTTGTCTCAGCTCACTGTAACTGAATACTATAACATGTCTGTGTCTGAAGCTGGAGGTTTCCTCTCTTACCATGAAGGACTGCTGTGCAGTGTAAATGAGATAGCAAGCATGACTCTGATCAATGTTAGATGAATATGATTTTGTAATATGTCAGAGTATGCATAAAGGCAGGGTCTAGCCATGCCTTCTTGTTCTTCATTGTGCTCTCCAAAGACTAGAATCAGGCCTCCAACATAATGGAAGTGTGTAGATCTTTTCCATATAGCTTGTCACTGGATCAAGGGACAATACATGATCCCTGGCCTTGAGGAGCTCCGAGCCAGGGAACACAAAACCAATCAACAAGCTGGTTATAATGAATTCTCACTGTGTGTATGTATGTATGCATGTATATGTTATGTAGGTAGGTAGCTAGGTATGTCAGTAGTGGGGCTTGAACTCAGGAACTGGGTGGTTTCCCTGAGCTTCTTTGCTCAAGGCCAGCATTCTACCATTTGAGCCAAACCTCTCTTTGCTGGAGACAGGAGTCTTATGGATTTTCATACCTGGGCTGGCTTGCTTAAACTTCAAACTCAGATCACTTGAGTAGTTATAATTACATACATGAGCCATGGGTGTCTAGCTTTATAATAAATTCTTTATGAGGGCAAAAAGATCAGGGAGAATGCTATGGCATTTCAAAGTAGGAAAATATCACTTCCACTTGAGGATTCCAGGATTCTTGCAGATTGGGGAGAGGATGTTGGGGGGGGATGGGAGCGTGTAAGCTGAGTTTTGAAGGGTACATTCACCTTTGAACTGGTAGAGAGCAAAGATGAAACTTCACTGAATATTTGTTCCCTTTGTAGCATGACTGAGGGGCCAGAGAGGACCTGGGTTTGAATTCCTAACTTACCAAGTCAAATCTCATGGCAGATGGCATACTCTAGGAGGCTGGAGGCCTGAGCTGCAGTCCCACCTCTGTAGGCACTGCACTCTATGAAGTGGAGCAGGACCCATCTCCCCTTATACAATGAGGATCAAGTGATTTCTAAGGGCCCTGAAGCTCTGACACCTTTGGATACCTGATGTCATCTTTTCCATTACGTTTTTAATTAGCACCTCCTGCCTCCTGGCCCCAGACCTCCCATGGAGAGGCAGGACAACAGAGCTCTCACTAAATCCATCCTTTTCCTGGATTTCAGCTTCCAACCAGGAAGCGGAAAAGCAGGATTTCCTGTTGAGGTTGTTCTCTATAACCCAGACAGTTCCTGCTAGGGGAATGGAGGGGGTGATGGGGTGATAGAGAGCATCTGGCCTTCATACCCTCCAACACCCTTTTTGTGAGTTTTATACTTTATTGACAAGTTCTTTAAAAAATGGGGCAAGTCCAAGAAATGGAATAATGGATTTTTATCGGTGGTGGTGGTGCTTTTGTTTTGTTTTTTTTTTTGGCGGAGGTAATAAGGAGAGCATACAGAAAGGGAGAGGGGAAGGGTGAACAAATAAAATCATGCTATTTAGTATATACTATGTGGAAAATGACATGCAACTTGTGGGCAGGAGAGGGAAGCTGGAATAGAGTGAAGGAAGGGGTGAGATCCAAAAAAAAGAAATGTACTCATTACCTGACTTATAAAATGGTAAGCCTTCTGTACAACATCTTTAATAACAAAATTATATTTTTAATTATGGAGAATGCCCAATTCAGAGCTGGAGAAAGATTTGCTGCTATCCCTTCAGGCCAACAGGATTACTCAATGTTATAATGGAGGAAATGGAATTCCCTTTTCCCTTCTCCATGGTGAAGTATGCTAACCATTATAAAAAGGAAGGAAAAGTTTTCCCCACTTACACGCCTGTGAAAAACTTTCAAGATCTTTAATAGTATAACTCTAACGCTGTCTCCTGCCGGAAATCCTTTCCCCTCCTGGACTTTCAAGCCTTTGCTCATGCTCTATTTCTTAACATTATGTACAATCACAGTGCATCAGAGTCACACAGGAGTAACCCTTTACCTCCAAGAGCAGGAGACTAAAGCCAGTGACTTGTCCTAATTCCTAAATTAATAGTCCTTTCTACTAGCGTATTTTCTTTCCCAATCTTGGTTCCTTGCTGTATCACCTTTACCAGATCTCCATGCTTTCACAGCTCTTCCTTTAATCAATAATATATCCTGATCCCCTTCCCTTTCCTATTGCTTCCAAGGATTCAGGAAAAAAAATGTGACCATGTTTCTAGAACATTCTCAAAATAATTTCCTCCCCAGTTCCTCTTATACTCTTACATCTTACCTGACTGTATTGCATATTCTTCCAACTTTAGGTTGAGTTCCTATAAGGCATGGTTATTTCCCTTATGTTCAACATCTAGTTCAGGGTCTAGCCTGCTCAACATGATACAACTGTTGAATAACAAGGTTATAATAATGTGCTGAGGTGAGGAGCTAAGGTGAAAGGAGTGGTTGCCACTGGGACAGACCCTGTGGAAGGAGGGACACACTACTGGTGCACGGGTGAACAGTTGTGCTTGACTTTGGCTTGGTGATGCATGGTATTTTCTTTACCTGTAAAGTCTGCTATGAATTTCAGTAGGGATTTGCTGTGAGAACTGTATGAACAAGTATGTAGGAAAGCACTTTGAGAAGTGTGCAACAATCTACAAGTCTGACTTATACTGCAGGAAAAAAGGCTACTCACATCACCTGAAGGGCTAGGAAAAGTTCTGCCCTTATAAACAATGCCTAGTGAAGGTGCAGAAACTGTTCCTCTAGCTTCCTGGAGTCCTTAAGTCAGTGTGTTTGCTACCAGGTAGTCATTGAAGTAAACCTTTGAATACTATCTGGGGGGTGGGGGTGGCTCCTTCAGGATGCATGAGCAAATAATGAAAATACATCTGTGAATAATGATAACAAAATGCAACTCATTGAAAGCTATTGGGGCAGTACTATAAATGAAGGTGTGAAATACCTTTGAATAATTAGCAAATGCTAAAAACAATAAATAACAGGGAAGTTATACAGGTCCCTGTGTAGGATATGGGAATTAGAGGCAGTAAGGGCAAATGGAGAGGGTAAAGGTCAACATATTCGATGTACATGTGTGAAGACAAAACAAATAGAGGCAGTAAAGGTTGGTTTAGGAAGATGAGCATGATGGGAAGTGTCTGATCAAGGTACACTGTACATATTATAGACATGTCAAAATTAAACAACTGATAGTAATTTAAACATGTGAGGCAATGACAGGTGCCAGAGGCTCACGCCTGTAATCCTAGCTACTCAGAAGGCTGAGATCTGAGGACCCAGTTCAAAGCCAGCCAGGCAGGAAAAAGTCAGTGAGACTCATCTCCAATAAACCACTCAGAAAACCTGAAGTGGCGCTGTGGCTCTCAAGTGGTAGAGCACTTAACTTGACCTGAAGAGCTTAAGGACAGCACCAGAGTTCAAGCCCCATGACCAGACCAAAAAAAAAATACACAGTTAACTGCTGAAGATCGCAGTTTGACGCCAGCCCGGGCAGGAAAGTCCACAAGACTCTTATCTCCAATTAACCACCAGAAAAATCAGAAGTGACACTGTGGCTCAAGTGGTAGAAACGCTTGCTTTGAGCCAAAGAGCTGAGGGACAGCACCCAGGCCGAGTTCAAGCCCCACAACCGATTAAAAAAAGTGACACAAAAGGAGAGTAGTTGTGTGACTGTAAGGTGGTAAAATTTCATATATATGTAAAAGTGATGCATGTAAAAACTTGTGAGCAGAGGACCTACCACAGTGTAAATGTGCAAGGCTCTTGGGTTCAATCTCCAGCCTTCTGCAAGATGCTTGCTAATGTCAGTTTCTTGGTTTTGAAATGTACTATATTGTGTAAAGTATTATCAGGGAAGGCACTGCGTAAAGAGCATACCTGAACCAGGTAGGGGAGTGCATGTGTCTGTACTCCCCACATTCAGGAGGCAGAAGCAGAGGACCTCAAGTTTGGAGCCAGCCTGGGCTATGTAATAAGATCAACCTTGAACTCAGTGGTAGCTCAGTAGTAGAGCACTTATTTAGCATGCATAAGGCCCTGGGTTTAATCTTCAGCATCAGAGAAGAGTGTATGAACTCATATATATATATATTTTTTAATCTTTGTGGCAGCTGAAAAAAAGGATGAACTATAGCAGAGGAAAAAACGACAAGAGTCCATGTAGATATTTTTATTCAGTTCTATTAAAAAAATAAGACATTTGAAAAAACATTTACAAAAGGTACTTGAATTCAATTATTTTCCTATTCTGTGACAGTTAGTGCTATAGGTTCAAGATGTTACATTAACATCAACACACCAGACTGAAAAAATTTTATTTCCACAGAGTTTAACACTACACATCCTAATTAAGAGGAAACACTTCCATCAAGGTCTCAAGTTATTTTAAAAAATAACTTTCCCCTTACACTCAAGAAGGATTGATTTTGCTAATTCAGCTGAGATCATGATAACTTGGTGTTGTGTTACTGGTACAGGGTAGATCCAGAGATGCAAGAAGCTAGCAAAGCAGACTTCTTAAAACATAGCATAAAATAATACTTCAGATTCAGACTAAGAGCTGAGTAGCATCTGTTTACCTTCATATGCTTAAATAACTGATCTTGAGAGCTTTTATTTTTTTTTCAGGTTTCAATGATGCTGAAAAGCCCTACTTGAACAAGAACTTGGCTTTCCTATAAGCCAGTCATCCTACATCAAGTCACTTGTTCAGCAATTTGTAGTTGACTGCTGCCAAGAACAGATGGACTCCTTCAATGATTAGGGATCCCCAAGCTACAAAGGCTTTGTCTTCAGGTATAGAGATATCCAATCCTCATCAGTAGGGAGGAGTCAAAGATTTAAAATAATTTTGGCAACTGCCTAAGACGCTTTACATCTAAAAAGGTGCCTACTGAATTTATGCTATTCATTTGCTTCAAAGTTTCAGAGGGTTGCAAGCTTTCAGGAAAAACAAGACGGTCCTTTTCATTTTCTTTCTCAGGATGTTGAGTAAACTCTGCTTTTCCAGATCGTAAGTTCACTGCAGGGCTTAGTTTAAGGTTCTTTAACAAGAAAGCTGGGTTTCCATTTAAATGCTGTGTTCCTTTTGGCCGTACAACTTCATTTGTAATATTTCTCAACACTGTGTGTGTGTCCTCGAATTCACAGTCATAACAATTAGGTATTTCATGGGCATTCCTAGGAGGGTCTTTCTGATAACCAATTTGTATAGGTATGGATGCAGCATTCTGAGCTGATAAATGGTCGCCCTTGCTGTCTATGTGGTTGGAAGGCTCCTCTTCGTCCTCACTATTGTCACTGCTTTGTATTAGTCCATATCGCTTCATGTATTTTTTTGTTGCAAATGACATGTTGTTTGGTGAAATTAAGCTAAGACCCACGGTGCTTCTGTCTGCATTAATGTGTAGAAGGCTAAAAGATGAGTCACAGTTATTTGGGTTTGATCGAGTGAGAGACAGTTGTGAGAGCTGATTTTCATTTAAATATTTCAGAGCTATAGCATTTGCCTCCATGCTCAAATCCACCCCAGTGGGGCTTACACCACTCATGCCAACATTAGCAAATGACATGTAGTTTAATCCAGAGATCACTGCTTCTGGGCTGATGCATGCCAGCACACTGAAAGACACAAATTAGTAAATCATCTTTTATCTTATTCTGAGTAATAAGAATTTCATTCTAAATACGTTTCATTCTGTGAAAGTAACAAAGGGGTTCAGCCTTAAGCTCATGGTGCTTCTTATCTGAGTACTCAGACATTAAAGTCTTGATGATCCAGATATAAATTCAAGGAATAAGTAGAATAATGTGGAAGGCAATCTATGATTCACAGATTGAAAGTGAAATACAAACCTATTTGCATATATATATATATATACACACACACACACACATATATATGGTTTATGAACAAATACAATGCTCCAACTCTTAGGCATTTAATACTACTGTGTCACTTAATTTTCAACTATTAATCCTGAAACAGCATGATATTTCAATGTAAAGTAAAATCAATCACAAAAAACATCTAATGATCCAAAAGTATAAGCACTGGTAAATTGCACAGAAAATGATATCATAATTATGATTCCAGCACGTGGAGGTTAGGGTCAGGAGGATTTTTGACTCCAGGCTACCCTGAGTGGCCAGCAGAAACTGAGCCTACACCTGCCATCTTGCTGGGGGTTCTGTAACCACTCTGTATTCAGCATATTACATTTTGCGAGATGCAGAGTCTTTCGTGACTACTTGTGACATTATATTCTAGTCAAAGAATATTCTATGACTTTCTATATCATACCATAAAGAGCCTGAGCTATTTTACATGTACTGTCAACAGCCTACATCCAAAGCCCCACAAAAAAGTTCAATACATACCAGTTATTTTCATTCTTATGAGCACCTGAAATTTGGAAGAAGGAATTCCCAACAATTACTCTCTCCTGATACCAAATAATCCAAAAGTGTGCTCAATAATATTAGGTTTTGTATGTAGTTCCTTTAATCTTCTTGGTACTTAATGACTTGGGGACTACTTCAGATGTTCCCAATTTAGGTAGACATTATTTTTTTAAATAATGTTATTATTATTTTTTGGCAATACTGAGCCTCAACATTGCTAGGTAGGTGATCTGCCAGTTGGGCATTTTTTGCTTTCATTACTTTTTTTTGGAAAAGGTCTTTCATTTTTGCCAGGGATGTCCCTAAAGTGAAATCTGCCTACCTATGCTGCCTAAGTAGTTGGAATACAGTTGTGTAAAACCACACCTGGTTTATTTGTTGAGATAGGGTCTTGGGAACTTTTTGTCCAGGCTGGCCTAGAACTGTGATCTACCTGATCTCTGCCTCCCAAGTAGTTGGCTTGTACTACCATGCCGAGCCTTTTTTTGTTGTTGTCTAAAGGATTTAACAAAACAATATCAATCAAATTATTTCTTGTAAGTAACTTTCTACCTTAACTAAAAGAATCTAAAATGTGGAGATGATCTTATATTCATCCCATATATACTAGGCCCTATATAAATCATAATCAAATAATCTGAGGTACAAATTTACGCCTTTTCCCAGGAGCTTTCTACAATTTATCTAAAATCTATTCACTTTTTTTTTTTTTTTTGGTCAGCTGGGGGCTTGACCTCAGGACCTGGGCTGTTCCTGAGTGCTTTTGTTCAAGGCTCCTGCTTTACTACTTTGAGCCACAGTGACACTTCCTTTTCTCTAGTGGTTAGTTGGAAGAGTCTCATGAACTTTACAGCCCAGGTTGCCTTTGAATCATGATTCCCAGGTCTCAGCCTCCTGAGTAACTAGGATTACAGGCATGAGCCATCAGCACCTGGCTTCTATTCATTTTTGAAGCAAAATTTAACATTACCTGGCATGATCTACTTTATGTGCATTTTTCTTCACTTTAGTAGGAGAATCAATTTTTACTCCCAGGCTTCTTAGTTGTTTAAGAGTTGCATTAAGAACACAATCTTTGTCCACCAATCCTGAATTGTGATTGTTTTTCTTTGCATGATAAACATTTGGGGTTTTGGTACATTCATGGCTGATAACCACTGCTTTAGGAGATGGCTGCTCATTTTCATTTGAGGAGTTACTTAGTAAGTGGTTCACTTGACCCTGAGAAAAAGACAAAGGACATGTTTAAAAATCATTATCAATCTTAGGATAAACTGTTACATAATATGCCATAATGAAGGGCTAGAGAAAGCAATGAGGTATTATCGTCTCAATTTCACAGAATACATTTGCAAGTTTTTTTTTCCTTTTTTCAAAGGATCACAGTTTGAGGTCAGTTCAGGCAAATCCTCAAAACTCCATCTCCAAAATAACTATCAAAAAGTGAGGCTTGAGGCATGGCTTAAATGACAGGAGGCCAGCTGACAGAACAAGCCAGCTGAGCAATTTTGAGGCCCTGAGTTTAAATCCTGGTACCAAAACAAAGAAACAAACAAACAACACATTTTAACAGGCACAGTCATGGGCACATGTAATCCCAGATATTGAGAACTTGAGGCAAGAGAATTGTGAATTCACGGTTGGTCTGGGCTACATAATAAGACCCTGTTTCAAAAACAAGAGACAAAAAAATAGTAAAACCAAAAACCAAACCCAAATTAACAAAATAGAACACCTACAAACTACAAACATCATGTTTAAAATTGTTTGAGTAATATTCCAAGTGTTTGCAAGGATTTATGCTAAGTTCCTTAAAAAGAAAAGTTTTGGGTTT